ACAACTGATACTAGCCCCCATAGGTAAACATTTGTCAAGGTAGATTAGTCCACCTAGCAAGTCAAAATCACCTGGGGATATTGGCAACAATAGGAAAGCTGATTTGATATCGGTTTTCCCAAAAAGAGCCCCCGCCCCTGAGTTTGTACCATTTCAACAGCATCGCCGACACTGGAATATTTTACAGAGCAGAGTTTTTCATCAATAAAATCATTTACCGAAGAGTATTCCGGGTAAGATAGATGATGTATGACGCGGAAGTCGCCATCTTTTTTGGCACAAGACCCAACGGAGAAATACGTAGGGTGGGCAATGGGGGCTGTATGAAGGGGCCAGCTATTCTACCTGCTACCAATTCCTTGTTTATTTTCTCCTGTATAATCTCGAGAGCCAAAAGCACACTTTTAAGGTTTTCTGCACATGTGTGTGGCCAGGGGCCATTCTAGTTAAGAGAGAAACCAAGTTTAAAGCCATTAAGGGGTAATGCTGCAACATTTTGGACAGTTCTGATACATTAATTGGAGACTTCCCCAGCGAATATAGAAAGGGGGTAAAGAAGGGTTTATTGGGAATTGCCTATGCAATGGGTACGGATGTGGTGACCTCCACACAAGGCACATGCATGTGTGAACTTGCATTGGGAACCATAGGAGCAGTGACCTTGGTTGAATTTCCGACAAATCTTCCCTGTGGGCTGGGAGTAACGCAAAGAATTGCCCCGTTTCTTACCCCGATCAAACCCGTCAGCCCCCAAGTTTTCAAAGCCAGCAGTATGTGACTGCCCATGAGTTGAGTCATTCCTTGGAGAAGGGCGATGAATAGGGATATTCTCTCCTCTTTGAAGGGCTGATATACAACAACCACAACTCATTATCTATGGATACCCAGGATGATTTAGGGTTTTTAATCGTCTTCAACCTATACTGTTCATCATAACGTACCGAGGAGGAACCAGACCTGCCTGCAGCTAGCCTTATGTCCCTCATGTACTTAAGCATCTCTTGGGCTTTCCAGGGATCCTTTTCCAACATGATGCTCATGTAGACCATAAAAGCACTGGTGGATATTGTATATAGGTTTAACCGATAGGTGTTTTTGAATTACTAGTTTCTCCTTTTTCATGACTACCTCCCCACTAGTCAGGTCCATTTCTTCGCTCACATCACGTGCAGATTTCAGCAGTAACCCTAAACCGAAAAAGGAATCCCCCGCCCACATTTTCTCCTTAAGTTTCTGAGGGACGTGATCACCGATCCCGTCCAACGTGCTAACGATTGGACAAGGGTCAGAACAAACGTCTGGCCCAATCACCCAGTCTGTGTCCATATCGGTACCCCCTGTATTCATGCTACCTGTACTGATTGGCCCAAGATCAATGGCAGATGTCTGAAGACTTCTAGTTGACTGATTTTCCGAAGGCGAAGTACAAGATTCATCATGGTGTGGGCCTGTGGTCTAAGTCCGAGAAGTATGAGCTGGTCGCTTCTCGCTCGACCCCTCCTCCTCAAATCGGGACGGCGTGCGTCGTACCCGCTTTCATTGGACCCTTGCCGGT